GGTTGGAAGGACTTTAGGAACCATCCAGTCCCACTGCCATGGGCAGGGACAGCTCCCACTAGCCCAGGTTGCTCCAACCTGGCCTTGGACACTTCCAGGGATCCAGGGGCAGCCACAGCTTCTCTGGGCAACCCGTGCCAGGGCCTCCCCACCCTCATAGCCAGGAATTCCTTCCCAATATCCCACCTAACCCTGCCCTCTGGGAGTTTAAAGCCATTCCCCTTGTCCTGTCCCTCCATCCCCAGTCCCTCTCCAGCTCCCTGGAGCCCCTTTGCATCAGTGGCTCCCAGGCAAGGTCTGCTCAGTGCCAGCTACCCCAGGACAGGAGTTCAGGGCAGTCATGGGATCAGTGCTGTGCAGGAAGTCAAACTGGGACCACATCAGTCCTCTGGGCAGTGGAAGGGATGGATCAGGAGCTCAGCAGGAGTTCTGCAGCTCAGCCCCAGCTGGAGCAGAGCTCAGAGCAGCAGAGGACATGATCCATCAGGGGATACTTCTGGACAGAAAGGAAAAACCAGCTTACACTGGGTTAGGAATCTGAGAGGGAAATGAGGAAAAGGGACTTTAATTCTAATATTGTTTGTTCAGAAGCCAGACCCTGCAAAAGCACCCTTTAAATTGTTGCTCTGTATGTAACACAGTCTCACCCCTGGACACACACATTGATCACCTCTCAAACAGCACAACTTCTTGGTGAAGCCACTGATCCCAAAAGACAAAAACCCCAAACAAACAAACCCACCTCAAGATCCTGCCTCTAACCCAGCTCTCCTCAGCAGCCAACTGCAACATTCCTCTGACACAAAATCCCAAGGAAAACACCTTTGTGACAGCTTTTCACGTGACCAGGACTAGAGTTTATGATGAAGAATTTAATTACTCCCTCAGACAAGACACAGATCACCAAAAGCTTTATTGTTGTCTGGGTTTTTAAGCGAGTGAAAAGAGAAATCCCTGTTGGACCCGAATTCTCCTCTGAAGTGTCAACATCCTAATTACAACCCATTATTTCCTGTAATGCAAAGCTAAAATTCTCCCCAACCATTATTATTATCATAATGAAAACTGCCACCAGCCAGGTCCCTGCTCCCTCCAGGGCTCGTTAGCACCAGGGAGGGAAGCAGGAGCTCAGCTTTATTTCCTTCCATAAAACAGACATTAAATTTCATGGCTCCTTATATATGAGCAGTTTTTTTCCAACTTGGCTGAGAATTTCTGTGAGTCTGATGAACTGCAAGCTCCTCTCAGGTTCAGGTGACGACACAGTGATGCAAGAGGGAGCCAGTCTGGGCTCTGCACTTCACCAGAACACTGAACCTCAGGCTCACCTGCAATCTGGGATTTTAATGGACACCAAGTTTGCTGAAACCTGGGGTTTTAGAACCTGTTTTGAAAGGTAACAACTAAAAGATGCTCAACGTCCCGGGTTCAAAAGGAGGGACTGTGCCCTGACATCACCCACCATCTCAGTCTGGGGGATGCAGGTGGGGGAAAGTGTCTAAAGTTAAAGTTTGAAGAGTCAGAGGTCAGAGTGCAAAAGTCAGTACAACACACACCACCCCACTATATCCTGGAAACCCCTCAGGAATACACAGCACCCATGCTCTGCCCGTGGTGTCTATAAAGTAGGTGGACATGGAACATGGCACCGAGTCCAAGAGCAATTAAAACCCTCAACTAAAACTTGAATCCACAGAAATTGGTAAAGAGAAAACAGATTTTGAAAAAAAAAAAAAGATACTGAGAGAAATGAGAGCAGTGTGGTTCCTGCAAAAAGGAAAGGAGAGACAATGTGCAATCAGTAATTACAGGGTGAAGAAAAGCTGTCAGATGGGACCCTCGTTCACACACAGCTCATTAGAGACCACAGACAAACACAAGTTTAGGGAGGGAAAGACAAGGAGGTGCTTTTAACAGACGTCTTAACAAGGAATCAAATCATCAAAGTTGTCTGTAAAAGCTGCAAGGCCAGAACTGAAGAGCACCCTGTGTTCACAGAGCCCAGGGACAGGGTTTGTGTGGAGCCCCCAGGAAGGGCAAGAGAAGGTTCTCTCAGCAGACCAACACCCTCAGCATCGCAGCCAGACCTGCCCAGCAGAGAAAAGCCTTTCCAAGAGATAACAAACACATTTTGGGGCTGTTTCTTAGGGATGTTCATCGACTTTTAACCATAAAAGCAGCTGCTTAAATTAGAACTGTCTGTTCTCTCACACAGGGGTTCAACCAGAAGAAAAGAAGGCAGCACTTGTGCTCCTTTGAGGTGTCAGGGATTAGGATGTGAACTCAGCTCTGGAACAGAGAGCCACTTCAGGCAGGGATTTCAGGGAGCTGGAAGCCCAGGCAGGGGGTGCTGGGCCAGAACCAACCTTGGCTTTGGTGGCAGCAGAGGCCAAGGCAGCAGCTGCAGCTGTGGCGACGTTTCCTTCCGAGCCTCGCTCTCTTTGTCTTTGCTCCCATCAACATTCTCCTTGTTCTCCTCTGCCTCCTTCTCCTCTGCAACACATCCCCCCCAGGCTGTTTGAGTGCTGCCCTGGCCTGCAGCACCTCAGGGTGGGGAGGGCTCTCACACTAACGAGCCCCACTAATGAGCTCATCCCCATTGACAGCCCTGCTCCCACCCGAACCCTGAGGGACCCCCATCTGAGAGGATCTGACCCAACACATGGGACAGCTTTAAACACTTTCCATTCCCATCCTCTCAGTCCATCACCTGCCATCAGCTTCCTCTCAGCGTTTCCAAATCAACTCCACCATTACACCAAATCCAA